CACTCCGTACACCCTTGTGACTTAAGGAAAAAAACAATTTTTTTGAGAAAGTAAAAAAAAAAATTTATAGGTCCAAAACACATCCCACACGATTCTCTATCGATTGGTATAGTCCAATTTTGAACGATTTTTTACACTCCGTACACCCTCGTGACTCAGGAGGGGTGGGATCTTAATATGCATAATTACCAAAATTTCTTTTACTTAAATATGTTCCACTATTTTAATCACATTGCAATTTGATACAATTTTTAATATTAGAAATAATAATACATTTTGTAACATAAATTTTTATTAGGTGGCGCAATATTTTTATCATATATCACATTATTTTTGTAAAAAATTAAAACAACTACTTTGTGAAACAGTTTTTTAGTTTGGATGTGGCAGTGTTTTTGTATTAAAATAATTAAAATAACACTGAGGTTCTAATACGCTCACAACCAATTAGGTTGGTGAGAGCCTTAACTAATACAGCTTCAAATTGAGGACCTTGATCGGTTGTGATCGTCTGCGGAGCACCATACCTCGCAACCCAGTGCGTATAAAAAGCTGTAGAAACAGTATCAGCCGAAATTTCAGTAAGAGGGATTGCTTCCGGCCATCTAGAAAATCTGTCAATCATGGTTAAACAATAACGAAAATTTTGACAAATAGGAAGAGGTCCAATCAAATCTAGATGAATATGCTGAAAACGCTGATCTGGAATAGCAATCTTTTGAGGAAGATTCTTGGTATGCTTTTGGATCTTGGCACGTTGACAAGGCAAACACAATCGAGCCCATTCTTTTATATCTTTCTTCATAGTTGGCCAAATAAATTTTTGTTGTATTAGTTTGCAGGTAGAACGACCACTTGAATGAGATAAACCATGAACAACATCAAAAATTTTTTTACGAAGCTGTTGAGGTTCATAAGGACAAATATTAACAGTAGAGCAGTCACAAAATAGGCGTAGTCGAGCCAGTAAGCACAAGTTTTCGAAGCTTGAGGGAAAAACTAGTGAGAAGTGTTTTCAATTTTTCATCTTCTTTTTGTAATTCTGCTAACTCTTCCAGAGAAACTATGATAGGCATCGAAACGGATTCAATTCTAGAGAGTGGATCTGCAACTACATTTTGTTTACCAGATATATGCTCGATGTTTGTTGAAAATTGAGCAATGGAATCAAGATGTCGGATCTGTCTGGGTGAAGCTTTATTCAATTTTTGTTGAAAAGCATAAATTAATGATTTATGATCTGTCCGAATAAGAATCTGACGTCCTTTAAATATGTACCTGAAATCCTTGATGGCTAAATAAATACCAAGAAGTTCACGATCGTAAGTACTATAATTACGTTGAGTGTCGTCCAATTTCTTTGAGAAAAATACAATTGGTTTATTAATTCCATCGATTATTTGTTCCAAAGATGCACCAACTGCAAAATTCGATGCGTCACAAGTGAGGATAAGAGGTACAGTTGAAGCCGGATGCGCTAAAGTTGTGACTCATAAAAGTTCTTCTTTGCAATTTTTTGATAGCTTCTTCAGCTTCAAAAGTCCAAGTGACTAACCTTTTATCCCTTTTCCTGCTATCCTTAAGATAATCCGTAAGAACTGCCTGATGTGATGCAGCATTTTTCAGACAACGACGGTAAAAGTTGATAATACCTATAAATCTTCTTAACTCATGAATTGTTTTAGGTTTTTTATAATCAATAATGGCTTTAACCTTTTCAGATGTCGGTTTAATTCCTTGCTTGGAAACTAAATAGCCAAGGAAAGAAATTTCATCCTTACCAAAGAGACATTTGGACAAATTAATCGTCATGCCGAATTGTTTAAGCCGAGAAAACACAGTATGAAGATGTTTGGCATGTTCTTTCTCATTAACAGAAGCAATTAAGATATCATCAAGATAACAGACACAAAAATCAAGTCCAGATAATATGATATTCATAAGACGTTGAAAAGTCTGAGCAGCATTACGCAAACCAAAAGGCATTACAAGAAATTCAAAAAAGCCGAATGGAGTAGTAACAGCTGTTTTTAGTATGTCCTCTTTTGTAACTGGCACTTGGTAATAGGCTTTAACTAAATCAATCTTAGAAAATATATTTTTACAGTGTAATAATGGCTTTAACCTTTTCAGATGTCGGTTTAATTCCTTGCTTGGAAACTAAATAGCCAAGGAAAGAAATTTCATCCTTACCAAAGAGACATTTGGACAAATTAATCGTCATGCCGAATTGTTTAAGCCGAGAAAACACAGTATGAAGATGTTTGGCATGTTCTTTCTCATTAACAGAAGCAATTAAGATATCATCAAGATAACAGACACAAAAATCAAGTCCAGATAATATGATATTCATAAGACGTTGAAAAGTCTGAGCAGCATTACGCAAACCAAAAGGCATTACAAGAAATTCAAAAAGGCCGAATGGAGTAGTAACAGCTGTTTTTGGTATGTCCTCTTTTGCAACTGGCACTTGGTAATAGGCTTTAACTAAGTCAATCTTAGAAAATATATTTTTACCGTGTAAACCAGCAGTGAAATCTTGAATGTGAGGAAGCGGATATCGATCCGGAACAGTAGCTGCATTTAAAGCTCGATAGTCGCCGCAAAGTCTCCATGAGTTCGGTGCGTTTTTAGGAATCATGTGAAGTGGAGCTGCCCAGGTGCTGCTTGACGGTCTACAAATTCCTTGTTCCACCATAAAATTAAATTCGTCTCTTGCAAATATTAATTTTTCCGGTGACAACCTGCAAGGAGTTGAAGCAATTGGTGGTCCTTTTGTAATAATATGATGCTCAATTTGATGAATCTTGTTTGTTGATATAGGAGCAAAATGAGTTAATTCAGGAAATTCAGCAAGGATCTTATGGAAAGGTGAGTCAGGAAATGTAGTGCAAATTGACAAGTGATTAACTTTAGATAGTTTTCCTTTAAATGAAAGATCGGTAACACTATCTAGAAGTTTTTTGTTTTTAATGTCAACTAAAATTCCATAATGACTCAAAAAATCTGCGCCCAATATAGGTCTCTGAATATCCGCAATGCAAAATTTCCATTTAAAAATTCTTCGTAATCCAAGATTTACAGTTAACATTTTTATACCGTAAGTATTAATCTTGGTTCCATTAGCTGCATAAAGCTTGAAAGAAGCAACTTGAGCTTTTGAAACAAATCTTTTTGGAATCAAAGAAATATCAGCTCCTGTATCAACAAGAAAATTAAGTCCCAAAGTTTTATCAGAAATAATGAGGCGATTGTTAGGTGAACCGTTGTCAGCCGCCTTACAACTCAACGGTGGAGCTAGTTTTCCTGCCTTTCGACCAAAGATTTAGACATATCACAAGATATTGTACATTTAAAAGCATTAGCACCAAATTTCTTGTAATAAAAACAAATTTTTTGGTTATCCTTATCAGATTTACTTCTAGAAGATGATCTAAATCTTCTTGCGATTATCGAATACTTTTTTTGTAATATTTTCGGAATGTTGCTGTAACATTGCTAAAGTTATATTGTAAAATGTCTTTGCAATATTTTTGCAACATTACATTGCAATATGCAATATTGCAATGTTGCAGCAATGTTGCAAGCTTCAGTGCTGTATGGGTACGCATTCAAAATTGAAAAATAAAGATTGGAATTTTACTAATCGGAATAAAAGAAATAAACATTTCTTTCCCTTAGGTCGGAAACGTGAAAAATGAAAAATCTTTCCATTAATTTTAATGACAAAATTTTTCACTTTTCACGTTTCCGTCCCAAAGAAAAAGTTACATGATCGATACCCTGATTGATCAAATTTCAATCTTGAATCTTCAATCTCAATCTTCGATTGGTAATCTGATACGGGCTTTAAGATTCCATTCAGCCAATGAAATGGCCGATGGAGAGAATGGACTATAACTGCGGTCGAGAAGACTCTAGAGATGCTTCGAAGCATCGCATTAACCAATCAGAATAAATAAATCTTTACTCTTTTTGTTCTGATTGGTCAATCAAACGCTTCGAAGCATTTTTATCGTCTTCCGCGACCGCAGCCTATGAATACCGACCTAACTTTCACGGTCAGACCGTCAAAGTTCTCTCAGCGCCGTTTTGGCGTATATGCGTTGATCAGCGAAACTAAAATATTGAATCGTACCTTTCGTGTGATGTTGATGATGATCTGAAACACCTCTGCTAAAAAGAATGCGCGTATTTTCGTACGATACATGGAAAAGATGTTCGTATAGTATCGTTCTGTAAAATCTAGTGGGAAAAAGTTTCATCGTTTAGATAATTGAGATCGAAAAACTCGTGGTGTATTCGCCATGGATAGAAGAAAAATGTCGTAAGTGAAGATTATGCCGCGACATTAAAGACGCCCGATGCTATAACTATGTGATGGCTGCTTATATATCTTATCGGCTTTTATCGCCACGTTTGTCCTGTTAAGTTATTGGATTCGTTATTTATTGATACATCTATTTCTTTCGAAAATGAATTATAGGCAGTAGTCCCGATGAAAGTCGAACAATCTTTATAACTTTTTTCCTTTTACTTTACCGGTTGTCACCTATTCGCGTCAGAAAAAAAGATTTTATAAACGGAAAAAAAAATACTGTATATTACTCAGATTGAATAATTTATTGTAAATGTCCAAAAGCATGCCTCATATAGAGAAACAATATGCTTTTGTAAATTTGTATTTGTTAATCAGTTGATAGGTTATTGCAGTCTTGATCGAGTATATATTTTTATATGTATAATTTTTTCGCTTTTCGTTATTATATTTTTTCTTATACTTTTTTTTTATTCATGGTCGACGTAATATCAAAATTGTAGCTTAAATATTAGAATAATCTTTGATAGTAGTTTGAAATAATCAATTTATTACACAACTTTTCTGTGTTCCGAGGTATTAACGATATAAACGATTATTATCATATAAATAATCAGTAATCGATAGATTGGTTAAAAAAAGATATGTAAAATTTACAACTTAATAAAAAAAACTATTTTTTAATATTTATGTTTATTTATTATTTACAGTACAGCAGGGGATTCCCTCTATCAGATTTTGGAAATCCCAAAAACTGCCACTTCGGAGGATATTAAAAAGACATATAGAAGATTGGCTTTGAAATATCATCCTGACAAAAATCCTAATAATCCAGAGGCAGCTGAAAAGGTCTTTTAATTTATAATTTTAATTTTAATTTATATATTTCCAATCTAAATATATTTATTAAATATATAATTTTCACGGTAACGTATATATATTTTAGTATTCATAAATAGTTTTGGGAAGCAATTTATATTTTAAAATCAATAAAATATATTACATAAATTTTTTTTTTGCCTTGTATATATTGTATCAACACAATATATATTGACTACTTTTATTTATAATTTAAATCTACGAAAGAATACAATATTTTGTAATTATATTGTATATTTGCAGTTTAAAGAAATAAATAGAGCGCACGCTATACTGACAGATCTTACAAAACGTAACATATACGATAATTATGGATCTTTGGGTCTGTATGTTGCGGAACAGTTTGGAGAAGAAAATGTTAATGCTTACTTTGTTGTCACTTCTGGATGGTGTAAGGTAAGAGTAAAAATTAATTTGGTCAATATTTCTTTTTGGCATAATTTTAATATATTTTATGCTTATAATTTTCTAAAATATGAAAATATTTCTCAAATATTTCTATATGTGTGATTTGTTTTTATATATAATTTATTTTTAAATAGATGCTCCATAAATCACATTTTATACGTAAGATATATCATGTTAGATAACATATAAGATAATGTTATCTTTTGAACATATTTTTAAAAACCTATAATTTGATAATTGCGTTAAAATATGTGTATTTTTTGTGGTTTAGAATAGTAAATATTTTAACATTTTATTACAGACATATATTTTGTTTGTTTTCAGGCATTGTTCATGTTTTGTGGACTGATTACCGCTTGTTACTGTTGTTGCTGTTGTTGCTGCTGTTGCAATTTCTGTTGCGGTAAATGTAAACCAACTCCCCCTGAAGATAGCGGTGCATACCATAATTTACAGGTAAAATAACTTTATCATTCTAATTATCTTTTTGTAATAGGGTTTATACAAACTTTAAAGCTAAATACATATGAAAAGAAGCAAATTATATTTGATGATAAAGATATAATAGAAAGAAAAACTTTATTAACCAAATATAAACATAAATTCAACTAAACAAGAAAATTCTTATTTCGTATATATTATCATACCAAGCCGACTAAAGAACTCTCTATTTCTTTCTCTAATTTTGATTTATGATATTTTAACTGTTATTTTTTAATTAAAATTATAATTTAAAAAGAATAAGCTTTTTATCAGCAGAAATACAATGTCTTTAATATCTAAAAATTATTATTTTTAACGATGTTATTTTCTCTATAAATGAAAAGTATTTGATATAATTATATGCAGACTATGCAATTAGTTGCATATTGTATCTCTATTTTCTTTCTTTCTTCTTGTGCATCTTGGTACTACGTTTCTTTACACATTTTTCTTTGATATTACTTTTATTTTGTTTTATCGTGTAATAAAGTACACAAAAAAATTGGGTAAAGAAAAAACGAGATATAATGTTTTGATATAATTTAATAATGTTTTATGCTTATATTTTTATATAACCCATTAAAATTTAATCCAAAATTTGTTCTTATACAATGCATGTAATGTTAGAAGAACGAATTTTATAGTCAATTAACACATTGCTCATAAGTGCATGATCTATGCTGTATGATGATACAAGCAATTATTTCTGTTAATTTATATAAAGAACACAAAAAAAACATGCAATGGATCTCCAGCATGTGTGATTGGATTCATTACACACACATACATATAATGTATATATATATCGATTTTATAATATTCCGAGCATAAATTTAATTTTCTATCTTGGACATAAAATAGAGCCGTAGAATGCAATCTCATTTTCAAATCTTTACTTCTCGGTATTCAAAATTAAACGTTGTCAAAAATAATTAAACATTAAAATTCAATTAGAGGAATAAGCATTGATATCAGCACATTTTACCGCGTTGGAATCTTATATTGACAATTATTTTAAGACAAAAACTACTAATGTGTCGTCGTTAAAACAAATCAAGTATTTGTAATCTCTTATCTCTAATCCCAACATCTTTATAATTGATAGAATAAATTCTATATACACATTATAACAATCTAAATTTGCCAGTACTATTAATTATTGTTATATATTTCTAATTAAATATAATACATATACATGCGTAGCTAAATTTGAAAAATATATATTTGTTTTGTTCTTTTACATTGATGCAAATTTCCAATACACAGTTGGAAAACGTGTCAGTGAGGAAAGAATATTTTAGTAGATATCTAATTGCGAAGGCAAGTGACTCAAGGAGCTCATGCAATTTAAATATGGTCGATGTTTGCATAAATGTTTATATCCATCTTGAAATTGCAAGTACTATCTGTTGTCCTTTTTTATCAGGCACCATAGATGCTTTGTATCGGCTTGGCACAACTCTCGATGTTTTTAGCTATGAATATTTAATTTAATATTACACACACATACACATAAATAGTTTTAACATCGTTTCTAATGTATTTGTATCCCCAAAATAAGAAATTGTTTAATAGATAGCATGAGACGAAAAAAAAATTTAGTATTTTTCTTTAAATATTTTTTTTGCGGTATATGCAACATATATAAGTATATATAATTTTAATTATAATTATTACTTATTTATTTAATTAATTTTATTTTCAAACAAAATTATCTATTTATTCTACAAGTTCTTATATAGATATAGCTCGCTGTATCTATTATTTGCGTGAAACGATTGTAAATAACAAATGCATAAACTTTCATCATTGTGCATGCCAAGTTATGTTTTGTTTTATAGGAAAGCGTACATAGTTTAGCGGTTTTGTTTATGTTATTATTGTATTATAGCGGAACCCGAATCCAGAGGCTGTTGTGACAAATCAACCGAGAGGTTTTGGCAAGGTAAGTTTTTATAATGCTCGAAATTTTAATTTCTTTTCTTTCCTTTCGCTACATAATTAATCATAAATATTAATGCCTTTTATTTTTATTCTTGTTAAAATATTATATTGGAATGAATTTACACGCAATATACACATAAGTAGCTCTCGTACTAATATATTTTATTATAATATCCGCGCGCACTATTTTCCCTCTGTGAGCAATGTGAAAGGTAAATTATTGTAGCTCCCATATACTTCTGTACAACATATTGCATGACATACTTGTAATTATTAGAAATGGCAATTCTTTAAAGATTCATTATTATTGTTTTATAGCACATATAGGATTTTGTACTATTTCTCACATCTAGCTGTTAAAATATAAAAGCTGTTAAATATTAAGTAGCTGTTAAAATATTAAATGGCTTTTAATCTCTACTATGCAAATATATGGCTCTTATGAAAAATTATATGGTATTCACATATTTTTTTGATAAAATACCGATGAGTAATATCTATTATTTCAATAATATAATTCTTAACATTTAAAATAAATATATTATATTATGCATTATTTATGGAAAAATCAGAAGAGACATTGCAAACATATTTGAAAGTAATTTAACAATTTATTTGTATTTTAATTATGCTACAAATTTGTCCACCGAATTTAATGCGTCCGGATTGGAAAATTTTAAACAAATATGTTGCTTTATGCTTTTATATTGCTTATTTTTTCAACATTTCTTCTGCTGGTATAAAAGCTTTAATTAAATTTTATATATTCAATGGGTGATTTATCATACAAAATATTTTTACATATTTATATATTTATTATAAAATCCATCTCTCTTTTACACATTATCCCTTTGTCTATCAACAAACCAAATTAATGAGGGGTAAATATTGTTTAAATTACAAAAGTAAAAAAAATAAAATAGACATATATAACATGTTAAAGTTGACTTGGTATGAACATAAGAATTAAATAAAGATACTGTGTATAGATATAATGTGTGCGTGTGTGTGTGTGCGTGCGTGTGTGCGGGTGCGTGTGTACATACATACGGTATATATACAGAATATAGAGTGATTCAAAAGGTTACTGACAAACTTCAGGAGCATATAGAGGGGTCGGAATATAGCAACTTTCGAATAGAAACCCATGTTCTCCGAAGTAATCCTGAGTCGGTACAAGCCTTTGAATGTAAGGAACTACATTATGGACGTAATCGAACTTTGTAATATTGTGTAGTATTATTGTGTTCATGTAACCTTTACTTAATTATTAAAAATGTAGAATAATATTTATTCATATAAGACCTTTAAGTAAAATTGATTTTACGAAAACAAAATCAGAACAAATGTAGGAAAAGTCTTGTAGGAAAAAGTTTAATCTACATTTTTTACTCATTCTTGCAATTCTAGAATTATTATCTTTCTGGTCATCAGTTATTACATATACACACGCACGCGCATATACATATACATGGTGTTCGATATTGAACGTATCATCTCTCGTATGCAGGTAAAGCAGGTGAAACGGAAGAGAAAAGTCCTTTACTATTCTGCGATTTTCGTAATAATTATTGATAAATTAATTAAAAAAGATCGACCAATTCGCGCGAGTATAAGCGCGCAACGAAGAGACAACCCAAAAGTGTGCGGACGTTAGGCGCGCGACGAAGTTTTGGGAGGAGTGCTCTACAAATGACAACAGTTATATACGAGCGATACATATAACGATGGATTCTCGCGACCTAGCAACCATGCATATATCAATAAGTTGTCCCTTTTTACTGCACGCTTATACTCGCGTATATTGGATGATCGTTTTAAATTAATTTCTCAATAATTATTACGAAAATCGCAAAATGGTTAAGGACTTTTCTCCTCGGTTTCATCTGCTGTACCCGCACACGAGAGGTGATACGGTCAATATCAGACACTGTATAAAGTTTTATTATTATGATCAAGATGTCCGAATATCTGAAATGTTTAATTATTTATTAGTGCGGAAAATGTTTTATATTACAGCATTTAATATTTTAAGGCATAATATATGTATAGACCCACAGGTCTATGTCTATAGGTCTAGGCTATAGGCGAATCTTCTATCAAGGAGAAAGAGAGAGAGAGAGAGAAAAGATCGCTTTTTTCTATTATTTTATTATAATTTTTATTAGTTTATAATTATTTTATATTTATATTTTTTTATTATTACTTATACTATTATCATATTCGATATTCTTAATTGTTAAAAATAATTATACATATAATTGTGTGTAAAAGGAAAAGAATTGTAATTATTTATTATTAGAATATTATAGAATGTATAATAAATTTCTGCAAAAATGTATAAAATACATTTTATATTAGTTATTTTCATGGATAAATGGCTTAACAGGAGATGTGACATGTATTTTTTAATATTCAAAATATGCATTCGCAGGAAGACGAGAGCGATGATGATGCTGTGACAGCTCAACCTCAAAGTGCATCCCAAAATGCATCCAATATACAGCAACCTATATTTGCCATGCCTGCACCAGGATCAGCGGCACCAACAGTTAACGAAAGCACGAATCTAAACAGCGGCGGTGAACGTGTGATTTATACCACTGGTATTACGAGTTCTTGAACGTAGAAAGTACATATTATGAGTTGTTACCTTCTATACATTGCCATTAATTATTTAATCCAAGAATGTTTGCTTTTTTCTTTTTGCCCATTCTTTTTGTTAATTATGATATATTTTATATGCTTTCATATTGATGACGATTTTAGCACAGCGAAAAAGATCATGCTAAAATAATTTTCTGGTTATACAATTGTTTTAAGATGATTATTTTTTAAAAAATCTATATGAAATATAAAGAAGATTTATTATGTATAAAATTATATATAAAAACCTGATGGTAATCTCACAGATTCCGTTTTTTCTCATTCTAACGATAGTGTAAAATTTTAATAGCATTTTTTTTCAATTTTCTTTGGTAAACTTCTCAGTAGTAAACGTCTCTTCTTTTATTTGTCCACTGATTTGTCACTTTAAGTTATTAAAACTACATTGATAAAATAACATGTTCTTCCATAGATTAAGCGGATAGCTGTCCTTAATATTATAAAAAGATATTAAAATGGAAGGACATTTTGTTTCTGTAGAAAATAATACTTGAAATTTTTCAAAAAAAATCTTGGGGTTCACGAGTTTCTCGCGATATCTTGTATAATTTATGTAGCAAACAATAATATGTATAGTACATATATATATAGGGTGTAACTAAAATAAGGGACAAACTTCGGGGGCAAGCTGTCCACATCAAAACATGAAAAAAAGATCATATTAACATATATCCGCATTTGTCCCCTTATTTTGGTTACAACCATATATATATATATTCTAACTAAAGAAAAACTATTTAGTTTTACTGCAGAAACCACACAATTCTATACGCCAATATGTGCTTACATCGTACATACATGCTATAAAGAAGGGAACTTTTAATAATAATTTAATGAAATTTGTAATCTCACATTTTATCATTTACGCATATGCATGTATATATATAAGAGAAAGAGAGAGACAGAGCGCGGGAGAGCATATATCTATATATATATATCTGCTAATTGTGCGTGCGCGCAAATAGTACGATTTTTGTGCTATTATCATCGTTCCTCTTTGCATTTTAACTCAACAATTCAAATATTACAATATTACATTTTATTATTTGTGATACAATTTTTTAGTATTTTTATCACAATTATACTTATGTTTTGTTAATTTATTTGTTATTATTTTGTCTATTTTATGTTTCGCTCTTGTTTTTACTCTTCAATGAAATTTTTACACACCTGATTTTATTTGTAATATATGTACTTTTGAAGTGTTGTTTTAAATGAAATGGACTAACGAGGCAAGTTTGTGATAAGTCGAAAATTTAAATTGGAAATTTTGTAAGAATGCATATGTGTGAAATAACTAGAAGTCAAATATTATTACAACTGTTACCGCTTTTGATACCATCTGACAATAATCTACATCTAAATTTGTATTGATATACGATATTTGATAACAGGGACGCAAATTCATTACTAAAAGAATTTTAAAACTTGTCGTATATTTTAGATATATGCATATTCTAAACTTCCCTCGTAAACATTACATGAATATATTTCTCTTCCTCAGCATTTTTCATATAAATTATCTTTTTTATTTTATTTTCCTTTTTTTAGCTGTAAAAATCAAACTTTATTCCAAAAGACATTGCATTTGTAATATATATTTCGTTAGAATTATTTAATTATAATTTTGTTTATTCTTTTTATTAAAAAATTACGGTATACTTTACATATATGTATATTGTGTGTGCATATATATATATATATAATTCCATGCATTTATAAAATTTTTAATGCAATTTCACGGAATTATCAGCTAATAATATGAATTAATAATGATATAAACTGCGATATATACATTTCTATTTACAAAAATACCATGTGTTATATCTGATTATCTAACGTTAATAATTATATAAATTTGTTCTGCAAAGAAGTATACTGATAATAATAAAATAAATAAGTAGCGCTCTAATGAGATTTTATGACTAATATGATATTTCAATGTAGCGGCTGCTACAAACCCATTTATAGGAGCCAATGCAGCTACAACTGACACCGGATCATCCAGATGGTAGACCCAGCATATGGAAAATTATCACACGAACATTCAATTTATATTTCTAGTGCCGGATCTTTACAATAGCCCATTAACATAGATCATAAGTTCATTGTTTTGATAAAATATGCTGCAATTAGTTTAATATAATGACTCTTCTTTTTCTCTTTCTATTTCTTTTTTTCTTGTATGCAGTCTTTATTATCTTTTCTAATTATTCTTATTTTTCTTTTATTGTATTTTGTATGATAGCGCTACAACTTTTTTCATATCGAAATATTCACATTATTATAAAAAAATTATACATACCTCTCCATTCATTAACACAGACAGCTTTTGGAAACAACCGTTATGCTCACAATAGAGTTCAGTTTGAACTATTTAATTTGATATATATTTATTACAATTTATATTTTTTAATTTAAAAGATAAAAGGTGGTAGCTACTTTTGGTAGGACACCCTGTATGTACACACACACACACACATTATGAATAATTATCAGATTATGTTTATTCAATTGGTCTTGAATTAAGTATATACATATTATCTTGTAGCGCGACTTTCCATTAAGAAAATATAATATTTTACACAATTTCTTGAACATGTATAGAAATATATATCATGTTTGAATTTTTTGAATTTGTAAAGTACTTCGTTTTCTTTTTAATATTTTTTTTAATGGAATCTTTAAAAGATTAACGCATATACATATATGTGAAGAATATGAAATAAGATGAAGCCTTGATAAAAGAAATATATAAATTCTTACATTATCGAGATATGAAATTACTCAATCGAAAACATGATCATCTGTTTTATTTCCTTAGAATATATTAACACAGTTAAAATTATTGGTATTTTAATTTAAACATCCATTTTAAATCAACTTTTTAAGTTAACATATAATAATTTTAGTATAATAATTATGCAGAGATAATATAAATAGGAAATATGAAAGTATCTCAATAGCAAGAAAGTATATTCTTTAATGAATTTCAAGTCTGCTATTCTCAATGAAGACTTAATTATTAAAATTGTGCGACTTTTAACGTTTATTTGAAACGTTGATAAATAGCAAAATCCTATTATTTTTCACTCAAATTTAGTACATTTTTAAATTTGTTTTAATTTTTTAAAGAAAAATTTCTTTAAATATTGTATCTTGATCTTAATAATTGATGTATATCCAAGTAGCAAGGTGACGTCAAATGACGTTTTAATATCTTATTGACGTTAGAAACGTCATTAAGACGTCATTTGACGTCATTTTGCTACTTGGATATTTATCATTGAAATTGGTTGTAAAGTAATACAGCAACTTGCGTAAAATTCCACGAAAAAAATTCAACCCAAATTAATCTCTCGAATTTTTGCGATGCACTCTATTGTTATTAGCTATTAATGATAATAAAAGAATCGCAAATTTGCATATATGAATAATTTTTATGAAAATCTATATGTAAAAACTTGTGTTGCGATATAATAATTTACAATATAAATATCCTATGTGTGCTAAATTTCATACTATATATACATCTGTGACATCTAAGAGTGACATACTAAAAGTATTATCATATTTGAGGATATAATATATAACATCGATCTTAAATTTAGTTTAATTTAGAAATTTATTTTGTTTTGTTTGTTTTATTTATCTCATTTTATGATTACCTAAAAATCACATTTTCATCTTACACATCGCGATTAGATGACCGATAGTATAATTTAGTATTTTTAGCAGGTTTAATTCACGAAGCTTTTTTCTTTCAAAGAAAGAGTATTGAATAGAATAATCAAATTAGTAAAATATCAAGAATAGAAAAATAAATATTGGCAAAGCGAAATGTTACACATTTTTTTAAGATATTTCATCTACACATTAATTATTACACACTAATGAATATATCAAGAATCACAATTTCTAACATGTACAGAATGATTTGTTCGAGTCATTTATTCCACTAATCTAGTATTTAATACCACTAGTCAAAAGTTGTTTGGACAAAGCTGTTAAAATATATATAGGTCACATTATCATTATTGGAAACAGTTTTGCTCTTAGAATGACTCGGAGTTGTATATTTTATCGGCCATACACGTAGTATATTGACTATTATATGAAGATGAGAGAGAATTAGAATGCCTTTTGGTGTGATGTGTATTTCATAATATTGTTTAGGTTTATCTCTCTCCACGCGTAATATTTTGTAAAAAGTATAATCCCATGTATACCAATAACGTATCGCTATGTATATGTATGTATGTATATCGATTAATTTGAACATTTACGCCGCATCGATTAAATGATGCACACAGCATGCCTACGATAAGATTTCTTTAATTATAAATATTTATCTGTATTGTCCAAATTATTATGTAAATGACAAATATATTGTCAATCTGCAAGAATATTTTCAGGACTTCTAACAATATAAACGCATATGTAATTTATATTGTAACGTAAATGTGTGAGAGATAAAGATTGAACGTAATATGAAAAAGCCGCCTGAATTTTTATAGAACATACGTAGATGTCTACGAAATAGTTTTTCGAATCTATTCAATTCTAAACCATTAAGCCTCTCGGCTCTTCACACTACGACTATATCGAATTATGATATCAAAAGTGAGAAATCAGAAAATTTTTTTTTATTATCCTGCATAGTTGGCGAATATAGATTCTTTTTATTTTTACATTTTCACATTTGTACATGTCCTACATCTCTAGCAAAAATAAATTTTACGACAGTTGATTGAGATTTAAAGCTATTTTTATTAATTTACGAATGAACAGAAAGAGGATTTTCAGCATTTTATGTTCATTTATTTTTAAATTGTATAAAATATGATAGTATATGAAAAAATAATTTATCTCAATGTATATAGTGCGAGAAAAACATTCAAATGATTTCTCGCTTTTGGCATCTTAATCCAACATAACTATAATGAGGGAAACTAAGAATTCTATAATTATATTTATTTTGAGAGATAAAGCGTACAGATTTTATATATTGAATAATTATAATTAGTTTATACTACAAAATTTTTTAGATTGTAAAATGATATTTTTTAATTAAATTTTATTTTTCAGTAACTGTACATTTATTTAGTTATCTATTTATTTATTTAATAATTTATTTATCTGTGTGTCGCGCGCGCACATAGTATTAATATATCTTATTTATATCGATTTCATAAATGCAGAACAAAGCAAAATTTTTTGGGGAACAAAATAAAATAAATTATTATACATTGAGATTATTAAAAAAGAAAAAAGTAGATAGTTTAAATTCTTGCAAATATATTTCATTATTTTATCGATGTGCAATTACACTTTGCATCATCACAATTGTAAGATACAAGAATCTAACACAGAGAGATTATTCTTTATTTTTTTGCGTTCTGTATACTTGTTACGCAAAGCTTTAAAAAAAATTTAAACGAACAAAAAATCACGAGACAGATATTTAACTCTTTCATACATTTCACGATTTTCGAAATTTACATGATAATCAATGGATATATATGTAAAAATATTATATATGTATTCACTATATTATGAGAGAATTCATAATGTTAAATATCTATACGCGCAGTTAATGTTAAATATTTATATGCATTTATTCAGTTGCCTATTTAAATATTTTTAATGACGCTCGCGTAACAAATATTCTGCATATTATATAGATGTATGTAATTATGTTTATTATATACATATAAAGTACTTATATATATTTAATGTTCCAGAAATATACCATGTTCACATGATTGGATATACATACGAAAGCATAATTATTACAACTGATTATGTTGTACTTAAAAGAAACAGTGAATTATTGTAAAGTTAACATTGTGTACAACACAAAAAACTGTAAATAAATTAGATTAAACTATTGAACAAAATAATATATATTTTGTATTTTATGTGCTTGCGCGCTTCTTTCTTTTGATTTGGAGTATAACTAGAATTAAAGATTTGAATTTAAAAAAAAAATAACAAAATAAAAGATTTTATTAATAAATAAAGTTATTTCAAATGTTTACATAATTTCGTTAAAAATATATATGTAATTATTTATCAGTGTATATATACGTATATACATACAGTGGATACATGATACATAAAATTGAATCAATGACAAGTCATTTAAGATTCTTCTTTTCTCATTGCAGTCATATTGAATTATGATTTTAAAAGTGAAAAATTCTGCTAATCTTTTTCTTGTAAAATATTTGATAAATATGAATTTGGAAAATAAATCAAAAACTCTATTTTAAAGGCACGTTCAAATGACTTAAATGCAACTCCAATCTGTATGTATATTCTATATTATTTGCAGCGAAAATAAAAAGTTGATCAAGAATATTACAATTTTATTATTAATCTATAAACCTTTATCACCTTGGAAAAGAATATCTTTGTTAAATATGTTGTCAATCTATATACTTTATTGAAGGCGTGCGTGGGTAATAACATACAAAAAAGCTATTTCGATGTATCTTGCACAAAAAAGATTTATATGATTTTGAGGGTTTATATAATAATTTCAATATGATTGCAGTGAGAAGCTATAAGCAAATTCTATGTAAAATGCAGTTTAACGCAATGTAAAATACATTAGGAATTATTTTCTTATTTCTTCCATTTGTTTCGCTCCTCTATTCCACAAAATTTTTCGAACCAATGTTGGAGATAATCCGTGCAGAATGTTTTTATTCTGTATTAAACGTAGATAAATGTTCACAGAAATTTATCATTCTCATCTTTTCTTTTTCTTTGGCAGAAACAAGGTATATTTCTTGTCGTTTCATCTCTTCCTGTAATTTAAATATATATTGAATCTAGTTCTAAAACATATATAGTATATATTTACATACAAAAATCACCTCCAACGTATATTTCTCCAGCTTATCGTATTCATATGCTTCACTGAGTTCTTCCAATATTTGATATCTACTGCCAATTTCTATGTCATATTTAGCTATTACTGCCAATAATTTTGATTCAATTGTCAATCTATACAGGCAACGATTATATAATAATATATAACCGAGTAGAGAAAAGACACGAAGGTAAAGAGCGATGTGTGGCTCAACAGCACAGTGCCAGCCAACGCAAGAGCTAGGTCCTAAGATCGAGGAGTCCCGGTGGAGTCCCGTTATTTTGCCTCTACTCGGATAGGCTTGCAGTATAAATTATTAATATATAAGAAAATAAATAATCCAAATTTTATGCACGCATACCTGCGTTTACGGATAGTTTGTTGTAATTTCGTATTTATATCTTTTAAAGATTCAAAATCATCTATGACATTCTCCAACGCTAATCGTATTTCATTTTGTTCGGATTCCCATGCTTTATATAAAGTAAATTGTTTCTTCTCATATTTGATACTATAAAAATAAATCACAAAGATAAAAAATGTTTGTACAGCACGTACATATAAACATAAATAGCGATCAATAATAATTTTATGTTCTACATTTTATATCTACAAAATGTATAAGAACAAGTTTTTAAATATAAATATACGTTGTGTTTGTGATATCTTCGTTACATTTTTCGTCGATTTCATTAATAGCAACTATATTTTTCCTGTATCGTTTGACTACGTCCTCGAGCATTCTTTTATGATTAATTCGTTGCCTCTCCAAATTTGTAGTAGATACTACAAATGTCCAAAGAAAAAAAGAAGATTAATGATTTATATATATATATATAAATTATTTTTATTATTATATTTTTTAAATCCTATATAACGTCTGTAAAACACAACTCTGTAAAACTATGCATTTTTAATTTTCCTTTTTCGTATTTTCAACTTTTTGTGCGTGCGTGCGCGCGCGCGCGTGTGTGTGTGTGTGTGTCGTATATGTATATGTCTAGATATATGCATAGACACAATCGCGCACGACATTTTTTCATTTTGCGTATTTCTATACCATATTGAAATAAGAATGGGAACTGAGAGAGAAAATGCTAACAATAAGTAAGAAAATATATATAGGGTTTGTTCGGTCCTGAGATGTTAACATAGAAGTTTGATTATATATATATATATCATATTTTTTGTATGTGAAAAATTATATTTTACTAGCAATATCATCGACAGATTTCTTATGACAGCGCCAGAGTTGTCTGTAATGTAATTCTTTATTCCTCGCCTTTTCTGGCATAAGATGCATTCTGCATAAAATATAATCTAAAAAATAACGGATGTGATATAAAAACAAAGCTGATGGCATTGAAATATGTTTACAGCGAGGATTCGTACGGAGAATGTCAACATGTTTGTCAAGAATCTACAAAAAAGAATAAATGATTAGAAAATACGGCAACGTAAGAAATAATGAAGTATCTATTTTTATGATAAAATAAATAATGTATGATTCAATTTTATTTTGTTTGGTAAATTATATATATTGTATAAATTAATATCCATTATTTATAAATAAAACAAATTATGTAAATTTTTTAAATTTTAAATTTTTTTATATAAATCAAATAAATATAGATAAAGATAACCTTCAGTGCTTTGAAAACTGCATAGTTGAAACTAAATGTGTCGTACGCAGCTTTTTTAGAATGTGCATTTGTATCATCGATTCCTTGTTTATAGATGCTAAAGTGTAAAATATTTGTGTTTAATCATAAATTGGAAATTGAAATCATCGATAAATACATAAAACCGATGTATATATATCTTTTAAGCCGATTACTGATTACCTGATTGCGCAATCTTGTTGTAAACATTTACAGTAAAATTCAATATTGCACATGACATCGTTTATTACATTTATTTCGTTAGTTGTAAAAACTGTGGATAATTTAGGATCCAATATAAGGAAAGGCAAAGCCATCTAAGATTATGAATAGATTTATTATAATATGATGATAGTAAGTAAATGAGAGTAAATAAATATATTAGCAAAGAAAATATAATTGCATTATTAACTGCTAATTCCAATTTTCGTATCACAGACTCAAAAATAGTTGTTGTAAGCGTCAATATGATCGATTCTTTTCGAATTTTTCTCTCGTGTTCACTAATATTATATCGTTTTTCAGTAATCCTGAACACGGAGAGAGATGAATCCTCCTCTATTTCCCTAGCCCTAATGAATATAATCCAAAATATATTCTTGAAATGACAATTTAATATATACACAAAAAATACGTTTTGCTAAAAACAATATTGTAAACTAATATGAATATAGTTCTTGCTCTTAAATTCAATGTGCAAATTCTACCTCGGAGTTCTTAAACGCTATCATTAACATTATTATTGTGCATACAATAATGATAATAAATGTATTGATAATGAAAAAATTATATTTACTTTAATTGATGCTAAATTAATAAATAAATAACTTTGTTCAAATCTACATACGTGATATAATCAGATTTCACAAAATAGACCTCATTATATTGATTTTTATAGGAATTCTTACTATAATTACTTAAAAAATAAGACATGATGTAAATATAAATGCAATAAAAAATGTAAGATGTCGTGTGCATATATGTACACATATGAGAGAAATGAAAATTGAAAAAACAAGCAAATATCGTGAAAAAGATATCATACTCTAAGGCCTTGCATACAATAGAGAAAATATTGGGAACAGAAATAAATATTAAATATTATAAAGAATTTGGAATTAATTTATTTCAAACAAGGGAACAGGATGGATTAACGTATAATAAATTAAAAATTAGAAATAAAAATAATTAATACATTCTATTCCCTTATTGTTTGAAGTAAAATAATTTCAATTAATATTTATTTATTAATATTAATATTTATTCCTATTCTTAATATTTTCTCTATTGTACACAGGGCCTAAAATTTGAAGTTTACAATCATGAACTGAAACATGATTGGTGTCAAAAAAAGTTTCGTCATAAAATATCTTTCTATTATTTGATTTATAAACATCTCTTTTTGCTTATTTGTAAATTTTTAAAGTATATATAACTTTGCTATACATAAATACAGAAAATATAAGAATACACGAATTAAAGGTCTAAGAAAGAACTAGTGCTTTTTAATTTTTATTGGATTATATAATTTACCTATAAGCAACAAATGTAATAAAAGGAATCAAAGATATAATACTTGATTATTATATATGATAAATGATTAAAGTATCAAGCCAAGCAACAAAGACAGCAGAGAAGCAACATTTGACGCAATAATTGCATTCATTATTTTAATCTTATAATAATGTCTATATTAATCATGCGCATTAGTAATATATGTATATCGTAAGATGTAATCGAGATACGGAATATTATCAAATTTATTTATAGAACTCGTGCTCGGACTCGTCTTTCTTAATATTGTTTTTATAACCCTTTTCAAAATCTTTTGCTAAAACTATATAACGATTTTCACGGACCGCGTGCATTCCCGCCTCTTGACAGATAGCATTAATGTCAGCACCAGAAATTCTATCTGGCCGTGCTACATAATCCTCAAGATCCACTTCTTCGCTCAAATTCATTTTTGCGGTAATCGTAGAGAAGATTAAACGTTTCTGACGACGATCGGGTAGCGGAAATTCAATTTTGCGATCCAGTCTACCAGGACGAAGCAATGCAGGATCCAATGTATCCGCTCTGTGAAAATAAATCGAAATATAAAAGTAAAGGTATAATTATCTTGACGTACAATAAATTGAGAAATTAAACTTCTAATTCAGAATTACAACTAGCTCACCTGTTTGTTGCCATAATAACTTTAACATTAGTTGTCTGATCAAAACCATCCATTTGATTCAATAATTCCAGGAGAATACGTTGCACTTCACGATCTGCTCCAGTTTGAGCATCAAATCTTTTTGTAGCAATAGCATCTATTTCATCAACAAATATTATGGCCGGTGAGTTCTCTTTAGCCAAACGGAACACATCTCGCACCATTCTTGGTCCTTCGCCTAAATACTTTTGCACAAATTCAGAACCCACTACACGAATAAAGGCAGCTGGAAAATGGAAAATAATAGAATTTAGAGCACAAAATCTGTTTCTCTTTTTCTTCTTCCATGCAATTAGTTTAGATATTTTCTGTAAGAATTCTTTTAACAGTATATTTAGATTTGTACCAGTAGTATGTCTAGCAACTGCTTTTGCCAACATAGTTTTTCCACAACCGGGTGGTCCGTACATAAGTACACCTCGCGGTGGGTCGATACCGATTTGTTTATACAATTCGAAATGAGTAAGAGGCAATTCTACTGCCTCTCTGATCTCTTGCTTCTGCATATCCATTCCACCTATATCACTGTATTGAATATCTGGCTTCTCATCTGCATTGCAAGTAAATCTTGATATTTACAATTCTATTACATTTTAATTTAATCTAAATGTAATTTAAACACTCTTAGAGAAGATTTTCACCTGCTTGTAACATTGAAATGCTGGAATCAGCTTCTGGTGGCAGCACATCGACTAAAGCATTGCTATGCTTATGAAGCGCTACGCTAGCGGAAGGCTTTAAAAGTTCTCTGTCTATAGTGGACAAAATTCGTACATAATAATTTGAGCCTGTTGTAGAACCCACTATGCCAGTATTCTGATCAACGGCTTCGAGAAATTGTCCAATGACCAAAGGTACACTCTGAATACGTTTCACTTCTTCTTGCGCATGCAAGTATTCTTTTTTTAGGTTACGTTGCTCATCCTTGATATATTCTTCTTGTACCTCGAGAAATTCTAGCATTCTTTGCAGTTTCTATTCAAAGGAATAAACAATATAATTGTAGTACATATAATACATATGTGTTTGGTATCTTTAATAAGCTTGATAAAATGCTATGTAACTATGTATGTGCTTTTAAAATCTGCTATACACTTCAGATAATATATTGTGGAAATGTGCAACGCATACCTTATATTTGGTATAAAGATCTTCGACATCCAACTCGTCTCCAGCTCCTGTGTAATGACCAACAACAGGCTTACAATCGATTTCAGCCACATCCTAAATATACAATTACAAATTTATATAAATCAATATGCATGAACTCTTTTATCAATTAGAATCACCAATTATTTGCAGCGTTATAAGATTCGCGATACAATCCTGTAGTTATATACATACATATATATTATAAAATTATTTTAAATTGTATGAATTTATGCAGATATGGTTAATATAAAAAATCAAACATAAACGTACCTTATCGGGCAAAATAATACCTAATTCTTCCATTAGTTCAAGAAAATACTGCAATTTAATCTAATCAAATATCAGACGTATCGACTTATGGATGATCCGTGGCGTATTGAATGACTTCAGATTTTTGAGCAGATCTCTTCACAATTGGTCACAATCGGTTCCACAAGATATACCATTAATAACATGATTATATTAAGGATGTACACTCCATTGGTGTTACAAATAGTTCGAATTATCTGATTGACCAATCGGAACAATGAAGTCTTTATCACGATTGGCCAATTGGACGATTCGAAGTATTTATAATGCAAGTGAAATGCATCCTAAAACCCGGTCTACAATAAGTCGTTAGTCGTTAGTTGTAAGCAAATTGACCAACCACAGTCTATTATTCCAAGAATATTCTAAGAATAATCGACTGTGGTTGGTTAATTTGCTTGCGGCTAACGACTAAAGCCCGAATCACACTAGCGGCTCGCGGCTGCGATTGCGATTGCCTCAGCCAATCAGAAAGCACCAATTGCAAGTATGATTGGAGCGTAGCAAATCACAATCACAAACGCAATCGCAACCGCGAGCCGCTAGTGTGATTCGAGCTTAATGACTCATTGTAGACCGGGCATAAAGCCCGTATCAGACTATGCATTGAGATCGAAATTTGACCAACCAGGATAAGGAAATTTTAGTTCGTTTTATCCTGGTTGGTCAAATTTTAATCTTCAATACGTAGTCTAAAAGTCGATTGTGTATCTTTGAAACAAAGATCGCGGTCGGAAACACGCTAGAAATACTTTGAAGCATTGCATTAACCAATCAGAATAAATAAATCTTTATTCTTTTTGTCCTGATTGATCAATCAATCGCTTCGAAGCATTTCTAGCGTCTTTCCGACTGCAGCCAAAGTAAAAATTACAAAGTGAACAGATTTACTAGATTTCGACAAATTAAATCGTAGGCCGGTATTCATAGTCAGTTCTTATTTCAAAACCGTCTTAAGTAATGTCTTAAGATGCTAATACGGCTCTGTGATTGGTTTAGGACATCTTAAGATTGTGCTTAAGCCCGGTCTACAATGAGTCGTTAATCGTTAGTCGCAAGCAAATTAATTAACCACAGTTTATTATTCCAAGAATATTCTAGGAATAATTGACTGTGGTTGGTCAATTTGCTTGCAACTAACGACTAACGACGCCCTAAACCTTAAGAAATTGACGAATCACAATCAAGTATGAGAAGAATACTTGACTGTGATTAGTCAATTTCTTAAGGCTTAGGGCTTGAATCACCTATTGTAGACCGGCACTTAGCCCCCACTCCTCACCACTCGGTCTAGATATACTATGTCTATGATAAGAACTGACTGTGAATACCGGCCTTAGAGCACTACCACGTATGCGCGCACCTCGGGCGTGTAAAATGGCGGACCTTCAATTGGGTACATCGCCAGGAGGCCTATCAGCAATCCAGATATATAGATCAGTGATGTACATTCTTCTGTCTAGTTATTATTTTCTTCAAAAATAAAAACTATTATAAAAATTTTTTCAGTTTGTTAAATTTTGTTTATTATATATACACATATACACATAAAATTTTATTGTATATATATATATATATATATAAAATACAAAAAGGAAACTATAATATATACTCATATTGTAAACAGGTCTATACACAGTGACACGAGAGCAATGTCTATATAAAAAATAAAAAAAGAGTATTTTTAGGAATAAACTTTTTATTTTGGTATGGGAATGAAGACATTTCGATCCTTCGAGAGTTTTATGCAAATTATAATCAACTTTTATGATACACTTGATTGCTTGATGCAAAATGCAGTGTAAAATCGATGATCTACCTGATGAATTATTAGAGTACATTCTGAGCTTAATACCACCTTATAAAGATCTCCAAGAGTGCAAGCTTGTTTGTAAAAGATGGTACCGTGCCACCAAAAGTACGCATGCATTTATTTCATTACTCTTTATATGTTTATTATATGTTGTAATAGAATTATGTTAGTATGGCGTAAATTTATTATATATATCTTTCTAATTAGATGTAATGGAACACAATGAAGCACATTTTCAAAAGTCTGTTGCTTTTGGATCTTTACTGTGGAATTCATTGCCATCTACACACTGGACACTCACTATTGGAAAGAGACATTCACATTCTGCTTGTATATATAATAATTCTATGTACGTATTTGGTGGTTGCACAGCTACATGGACAACATTCAATGATTTGTGGCAGTTAGATTTAGGCACAAGAACCTGGGTCAGACCAATCACTATGGGCAACTATCCATCACCTAAAGCTTGTGCCACTATGCTCTATTATAAGAAAAGCTTAATTTTATTTGGAGGTTGGTCTCATCCATCGCCATATCCTTTACATCAGGTAAATATTTAATAAAGACATCATACAGTTGATATTATTTTATATAATGGCCATGTTCTGATATAGACTGCCATTACTAAAAATTTACAGTTTATTTCATCTTAGATACATATATACAAAGCAACTGTTAATCTTATTTAAATAAAATTTGCTAAACTTTATATATGTGGGAACTTTATAAAATATATCTCAAATTTATGTAATTAAATCATAATTTAGAAAGTATAAACAGTCAAATTGCAATGTTATTTGACATTTGTTTCATATATTGTTACAAACTATCTTATCGCATCTATTTATTTACTACATTTTTTTTTGCTAAAGAAAGGAGAAGATTAATAAAATAATTAAACAAATGTGTAATAAAATATATGTGAAATATACAAAAAGAGATAATAATATATATACTACATTTTCAGCAATGGAAATTATTTAATGAATTACATGTATACTCTATAGAATCAAATAAATGGACTGCTATAAATACATTAGAAACTCCACCGCCAACATCTGCACATTCTGCAACAATACATGGGAACTTAATGGTCGTCTTTGGTGGAGTTTGTAATGGATACAGGTACAGATATATACTTTTGTAAAATTACGAATATAAATATGAATATTTCAATATTTTTATACATACATATATATTTAATGTTACTTGTATTATTTCATAATAGTTCTAATGATATATGGTGCTTAAATTTGGACTCATATTATTGGCACAAACAAACTACGTCAAATTTGAAACCCCAACCACGTTATGGCCAGTCACAAATTGAACTTGGGAAAAAACATCTACTTGTGCTTGGTAGACATTCTTGATTGTTTATGAGATTTATCTTTTGTACTAAATCAAGTATTATTCTTTTTATTGTTAATTTGATTTGTAGTGTACATACTTCAGAGAAAATATATGACTATTGAGAGAGAGAGAGAGAGAGAGAGAGAGAGAGAGAGAGAGAGAGAGAGAGAGAGAGATATCCTTGATATGTATTAAAATAAGGAATAGATGTACAAAATATAAATGTATATGTATGTATGATGTATATATGTATATGTGCGTGTGTGAGGAAGGTGGGCGCGTGCATGCGTATGCGTGCGCGTGTGTGTATGCACTATATAGAATATTTATTTTTCAAAATAATATTATTAAAACAATATGTGTGTGAATATTACATTGGAATTTTTACTCGTTAATATCAGAACAATTAATTATGTAATTACATGGTTACATATTTGAAATTGCATAGGAGGTTGTACAGGACCAAATGCTGCCATGAATGATGCTTGGTTGTTGACAATGGAAGATACATCTTGGACATGGAAAAAAGTTAATATGCACAATACAGAATGGGCACCAACACGTATTTGGTGTCATCAAGCTTGTAAGGTATATAATATATTTAAAAAATATTTTTTTTTTAATAAAAATAGAAATATATTTAATTTAACAAAAATAATTATTTTATTTTTATAAACCATTGACTTCGTATAATTGGTTTAGTATTTTTGGAGTTATTCGGATCATTTACAAATAATGTGATTAATATCTTAAATAAATTATTGTAAAAAACGCAAGTAATCTTGAAATATCATCCCTCTATTTAAAAGAAAATTATTTTGGTATTATTTCTTTCTCGAATAAAAAGAACAATGTCAAATCTAACTTAGTTTTGAAGAAATTTGATACCATTGATCATAATTAGACACTTTGTATATGTTGCCAGATCAATTATTATAATGCTATTATTTGCATAGGTGGGAAATTATATTATTGTACTTAGTAAAAATAGATGTCAAGCCAAACCAAGTGATATGAGTATTTCATTAAGAAAGGTTGCTTGTCAAAGAAATACTTCACCACGTTTGTGCGAGTCGAATCTTTTGCATGAAAGGTCTGATACAATTATGATAGTTTTAACTAGCATTGTTATGAAGATTTATGCAAAGGACTATAACAATTTTATTATTATTAATTTTTTAGGCCGGAAAATTTATCTGCCATAGATAGAGATGAAAATATAAATGGACGACATGGAGCATTTTCTAGGTCACATTCACAAAATGCACATGCTACATCGCATACAGCCAGTATTTCAAAAACGATACCATTTTACAGTGATAATACTCTAAGCATGGCCGCATTCCGCGATCAACCTCTGCGTCATAATTCAAATACAGATAGACAACGTCAATTGGAATCATTAAGAAGAATGGAAGAGAAAATTCGGAATAAGAAAGCACAACCACTGAAAGTATTTAAAAAAGCCGAGAGCACATTATCAATATTTGTGTTGGATATTACTAATGTTCTTTCCGATGATTGCAATGCTTCGTGGATTCCTTTAAAACAGGACGATCATTCAGGACCTGATGAGAGAATTTTGTATTCTCTTGTAGTTGGAAAAGGAGAATTAATAGTTTTTGGAGGTATTCGTAAAGAGCATTCAACATTAGGCCACACTGATGTAGATGATTCTGTAGTATATAATGATCTCCATTTTATAAATCCGCCGCGATATGTTATTTAATATTAATAAATAATTAATAATACACAGAAGCCTTCTATTCTGGAATCATCGAGATTCAGTTTTTCTTCTGTTATTCTGATATCTTCAATTCCTATTATATTTTAATGGCACATGCACATAATAGTTGTGCGCTTTGTTTTTTTACTCATTTTCTCACTCCATGCATGATCACATAACATTTAGCATAGTGAGAGAGCACCGCATGGTATATCCATGGTACATCTGATAAAGTTGTCTCTAGAGTGTAACATTTATAAAATTGTTTGCAACGATAAATGAGGCTTTTCTGACACAGAAAAATGACGCAAAAATAAGTTAACGCTGAAAATTCAAATTTTTTAATATATGGAATTATCTAAATGCGAAGATGTACTATATAAGTACTTTATCAAAGAAACAATTGATTTATATTCTATTAAATAACTCGTTAATATCAAAATTGGATATTTAATCGGTCAGTATGCTTGTTTTTGCATTTAAAAAACTTTGTGTATTGCAGTTCTTAGAACGTACTAATATAATTAGCAGACAAGATCAGATATATGAGAACAGCAAAAAGCAGCTCCATATTTCATTCAATATACTTTGTAAAATATCAGAATATAATTTTAGATAAAAGATTGCACAAATTGAAACTTTAAATATTAAACACAACTTTAAACACAATTACAAAAACTGTATCTTTATTTATACGTTGTCTTTTTTTATTTACATTATAAATAAGATTATGCTTTAAAATGAAAAGTCATCCATTATATAAATTTAGCAAACATAATTATATAATTTATAGATTGCTTTTTGTGCATGCATGTGCATGTGCATATGTGTACAAATGATAAACAATGAACTTTTATTATAATTTATACAACAGAAAAAAGTACAAAAATATTTCCTCAGATATAAAATGTTACAAATAGAAAAAGCACACACATATAAATTTTAGAAAAAAGAAATCGAAATTTTCAGTTATATATACATTCAAAGATCTAAATATTTAAATATAATTTAAAATGTTCTATGGCATTTTTTACTGATTGATGTATTTCTGTAAATATAGCGTCATATTCTACAGTCATGATTAGAGTTTCATCATCCAATTTATCAGTCTTCATATCCGAGAAAGCAGAATAAGCAATCCCTAATTCAAAGTGAATATGTTTGCAAATTAGAAATTCTTCTTTTCTTTTAGCTCTTATATACAATTCCTTAATGGCATTTTCTAAGATTTCTATTCGCAGTTTACATATTTTTATCTGTTTGACTTTGGATTGTTCAAAATATGCAAAATACTTGTAGGCTTTGGAAATTTCTATTATTATCTTTCCATAATGTCCAAAATTCTTTTCTATGGTAAAATATGATTTTGCTATATCAAGCCATCTCAAAACATTTACAAAAACTACTTTGGCATCATTGAGATTTAACACATATGTATCTGCAATCTGGCTAGTAATATTTTCTAGATCCTTTTCTAAGTCAGCAAATAATAAAAAATTAATTGATTTCTTCTCGGGATTTATAAGGGATTCTGATTTTGAATCATCTGTTTCACAAGATTTGTCATTTTCTTGACACAATTTTTCTTTTGATAAACGTAAAAGCGCAATTCCATAAAAACCCCAGAATCTAGCAGTATTGGCACAAACATGTTGATATTTATCAAACATTGAAGCATGTATAGATTCTGAATAAGTCGTTTTATCTATTGTCATCAATTTGTCCTTATGAAATCTCTCCATCACATAATCAGCAGCAGCAAGATGATGTCTGGCTTCAGTGAAACAATGCTTTGATATGAAGTATTGGCTTAAATCAACTGACGCTAAAGCCCAATAATAACATTCTATATCTAGACACTCTAATGTTTCAAGTATTTGTCTGTTCAATAAATTATGTATGTATATTACCAATCTATCCTTATCTTTGGGCCAAAGATGATACTGCTTTACTAGTTGGTCTACAGTTATTAAATGAAGTTTATCTAGCGAAAGCTGAAAATTTGATTCTTCTTCAATACCAAGAATGTTTGATACATTAATAGGATCGAGATACTTGTTTTTTTCCTCTGTGTATTTCAAATATAGCTCCATTGCTTTATCTAATAATGGTTTAGATTCCCCAGGTTTCTGTAGTTTAATCAAAACACATCTTAATTCAATAAGCACTCTTATAGCTGTCAAAATAGCTTTGCGCTCCAGCTCTTTTCCTTCTAACAGTTTGATACATCTCATGAAATAGTTTTTACCAGCATATAATTCCTTTTCATCTGTACAGTCAGCATACGCGAGACCAATATTAAAATAAGCTATTGCAAGAACTATAATATCATCAAATGTTACGTTTGTTGAAGTAACATTTGTTACATATTGAAACAAATCATCCATCCTGGCTTCTATTGTTTTAATCATTTTTTTCTTCTTTTTGGAAAGTTTATTCATTCCGTATAAGTTTTTTACATCAAATGATGATTTCAAAACTTCTAGAAATCTCTTATTAACATCCATATGTTCGACGCTCTCGAGTGACCTTGCGTCTGCTAAAAATCAACATTAAAATATTATTATACATGGCTATGTGATATTACAGTTTGGAATAAAATCATTTCTGTATATTACCAGATTGAGATGATTCATTGATCCGACGTTTAATGAAGTATTCTACAATCGCTAGCATTATTTAACTCAATGGATCAGTAATAACAAATATTTGCTTTATCTCAACTTATAAGGCCGTTGTTACATATGACAAATATTTTTAAGTATAAGTGCTTGATTTTAAATATGGGGGTTTCCACAGTCTTGTCTCTGTTGATTCATGCTCATAGACATAAAGAGTTTTCCAGCAAGGAAACATGAGTATACATAAAGCCCGTATCAAACTACACATTGAAGATTGGTCTAGTTTACAGCTGCATAAAGTTAGCCGGACCACTTTAACTTTTTGATAATTAAAATTATCTAATCGTTTGGTGGTCGTTTGGTGATGATTGGTAGCCTAATTAAAACGTTTGGTGGTCAATCGTTTTTTTTTAAATTAAATAATTAAAATATTGGTGTAAAGAGTGCAAGGGGGGCCTTCGGCCCCCCTCCCGCACCCATCCAACCGGTAGGCTAGGTGGACCTCGCTTTACAATGTAGCATGTACTTTGTAAGTTGTAAAGCGAGGTCAACCCAGCCTACCGGCGGGGTGGGTGCGGGAAGGGGGCCGAAGGCCCCCTTGCAACTATACAATAGGTATAGTTAGTCCGGATCTACAATCTACAATAGATGTAGTAAGTTTCAAGCCATAAGAAATTGATCAATCACAATCAAATGTGAGGAAAATAAAGAATTGTTATTGGTAATTTTCTTACGGCTTAAAGGCTGATTTATGCAGGCCGTAACTGTTAATTTATGCCGGAACCGTTAAAGTTTAACACTAGGATTACAATGCTTTTGTTCATAATGCCATTATGAACAAAAGCATTGTAATTCTAGTGTTAAACTTTAACGGTTCCGGCATAAGTGCCGGTCTACAATAGTGATTTAAGCTCTAAGCCTTAAGAAATTGACTAATCACAGTCGAGTATTCTCCTCATTCTTGATTGTGATTGGTCAATTTCTTAAGGCTTAGAGCTTAAATCACTATTGTAGACCGGCACTAAATTAACAGTTACGGGCTGCATAAACCAGTCTTAAGGCTTACTACATCTATTGTAGATCCTATTCATAGTCCGTTCTTATATCCAAGATCGTCTTAAGTGTGGTCTTGGGTCGTCTTAAGATCCCATTCAACCAATGAAATGGCCGCATAGTATCTTAAGATCGTACTTAAGACGATCTTGGATATAAGAACGGACTATGAATACCGGCCTTAGAAATTCTTAAGGATCGACAGGAGTGACGGACAAACTCCGACTTGACATTGGAGACCTCGCGCGGTGAAAATGTGAAAGTCAGGTTTCAAAGTTACCAACGCTGAGCAACAATCGCTTCCGTGTGCTCAACATATCGGTGTGCTTTCACGGATATGTGATGAAAGAGAGACAAAGACGCCGTAATCATCTCTCTTTGTCAAGCAGTCAGTATGTTACCACAAAAATTTCCCCATGAGCTGCTCCTTAGATACACATCTAGTGAGATCCGCTTATTCCGTATTTTACATCGAAGAAGTCATATTACTTCATAAAACTTTTTTTAATAAATTCTTTATATAATTATGCAGTCCTGTACAGAGCCGAATTTCGCATTTTGGCTTTTGAAAATTTATAATAAATGAAATACAGCTCATGGCCAACTGCACCTAGTCCGCCATGAGCTGTACCTAGTATGTACCTTTCTTGTCAACTTATAAAATATTATTTTAACTCTTTTTTTCAAAAAAATAGCTCTGTACAGGACTGCGGATGATCCTACTGATTACAAATATCACAGGTTTAACATGATTCTCTTTATTTTTTGGCCGTAATACGGGAGAAGCGAATTCGTAATTCACGGCTGTCCGCGAGAGGCTCTACCGTCACTCCTGTCGACCCTTAAACAGAAATCGGACAAACCGTTAACGATGTCTGATTGGCTCCGTCGCCTGAGGTAAAACCGAAAGTGTGAAAGAAAAAGATATATATAGCTAACCTAACCGACCTAGCCATAACTATAGTCCGTCAAAGACATAAATTATATTTATAATAATACATAACGTATAAGGTAAAATAACATAATAATAATGATAATAAGGTAGTAATAATATAGCAATAATAATAATATAACCTATAATAGTAATTATAACAATATATTTTTTAATAGTTAATTCATATTATTAGTTGATATTAACACAAGAAAACTGATGAAATATATTTGTTTGTAATCTTTTTTAATACGTGTTTTAATATTCATTACTCATGTTAACTTCAAACGAAAAATATATATCGTATTCTTGTATTTGTTCAACAATCAAAATAAACCATCATCAAAAATGTCATATCCGGTTTCACTCCACAACGGTACATTGTCCAATCTCTGTTTAAGGATCTTTAGGTTTAATAAGCCTCAAGCCACAAGGAATTGATCAATCAGTCAAATGTGAAAAGAATAAGAATAGATAATATTAAGATTATATAAAGAAAGGTTAAGTCATGAGCCCCAGCTACCCATAATCCTATGCAAAGCATCGATGTGTGAACCAAAAACAGTCTACCTTATTTAGCATCTATTTTTAATAACGATTGCTCACACCATTGAACTCTATATATACTGGAATGAGCGATCCCATTGTTTGGCTGTCGCCACTATTTCGCCGAGAGAGAGGTGTGTTTGAATGATGGCATCTCTTTCTAGTACTACTTGATTGGTCCATGGCATGTCACGTGACATCATCTAAACTGAGAATGATGTCACGTGACATGCCATGGACCAATCAGGTAATACTAGAAAATGATGTCATCATCCAAACGCATTTCTCTCTCGGCGAAATAGTGGCGACAGCCAAACAATGGGATCGCTCATTCCAGTATGTATAGAGTTCAATGGTTCACACATCGATTTTTTGCATTGAATTATGGGTAGTTGGGGCTCATGACTTAACCTTTCTTTATATAACCTTATGGCGTTTTCGAATGTAGGAGATTAATCGCTTTGAGAGCGATTAATGACGTCATTGCATTGTCTCTGCCAATAAAAGACTTGAATTCATAATTAAATATAGGGATTAATTGGACTGGGTTGGGTTAACCCGTTTATTCAAACACGCTATGTCTATGATGAGGTCACGTTCCGTCTCTTTCTAATAAAGCCTGATTGGATCAGCAGTACTGATGTTTTGCCAACTAATCAGGCTTTATTAGATAGTATATGTGACGTAAACTATAGATTTTCAGTACTGGCAATGAATATCGAAATCATAGACATATAGAATGGACTGAGCATTGCGATAGACAAACACACGCCCGCTGTAGAAAGAGAGGTACTATATAGGCTGTGTTCCGATATTCACTGCCAGTATTGAAAACCTATAGTATACGTGACGTAAACTATAGATTTTTAGTACTGACAGTGAATATCGGAACGCAGCCATAGAAGGCCTATTTTGTCTCTTTTCCTAGCATTTCATTGGTGATTTTGTCCCCCTTCATATAGAAAATTACCAATGAAATGCTAGGAAAAGAGACAAATATAGGCCTTCCATATAGTACCTCTCTTTCTATAGCGGGCGCGCGTTTATCTATCTCGCAATGCACGTAAGTGGTGGGGGCTCCCATTTCCCACGAACTGGCAGCTCTGATGCACAGTCCAGTTATATCTATGATCGGAACACGACCATTATAGATATAGGCTTTCGATATTTACCGCCAGTATTGAAAATCTATAGTTTACGTCACGTACACGTACACTATAGATTTTCAATACTGACAGTGAAATATCTGGACCAAGATCCAACTAAAGTTCAATATAATTGTTTTAAAAAACTTGACATATTTGAAAAAATTGATTTTGTTAATTCTTTTAAAAGACTATTAAACTTATTAAACCTATGCAAGAATCAATGAAAATTGTTATGATAGTAGAAAAGAATGTCGTTAAAATAAAACTTCAATTTGTAAAGTTAAATGAAGAATAAAATTATTTTAAAAATCATTTCCAGCCATACATAAATAAAGTTTCAAAACAACGTTAATGACAATACCCATTATCATTAATCCAAAGAATCTTATTAAATTGCAAACTTAATTCTCCTTTATTTTCATCTTATTGTACCTTTAGTTGTAAAGATTAATCACATCAATCTAAATAAATACATATAGCCATTTCAGATATATATTTCAATTATTTAATTTCAGTGTTAATATTTTTTAAATGAATTAAAGAAAAATTAATAACTTGAAAAATGGCGCGCTCTGTTTCTGTTGCACATGCGCACAATTTCTTGACATCCCGTAAAATGCATAAAGAAATTATTAATTTTTTTCTTGAGGAATACTGTAGATAATTATTTTTTAAAGGTCGAGCAAATTCAAACAAAAATTTTGGAGCGATTGTTTTATATCTTAAGAACCTACAAATTCTAATGATTTTTGCTTATACAGGGTGTCCCAGATCATTTGGGACAATACTCGTGTGCAGATAGAGCGGACCAAACTGAGTCGAAAAGTCCTTTATCATTTTTTTTATAACGCTTAATAAAGGAGTTATTATTGAGTTAAGTCTAGCCAATCAGCCGATCTTTAGCCGGGCGCACGTCGGTGAGCCGCGCGCCTGGTAGTATGCGGCAGCGCATACTTCACGGCGCGCGGCTCACTGACTTGCGCCCGGCTAAAGGTTGGCGCTGATTGACCAGACTTAACTCAATAATAACTCCTTTATTAAGCGTTATAAAAAAAATGATAAAGGACTTTTCGACTCAGTTTGGTCCGCTCTATCTGCACACGAGTATTGTCCCAAATGATCTGGGACACCCTGTATATTGACGTTTATATTGTTATCAACTTTATCATTTATTTATAAAAAAAGTAAAATGGAGCAAATGATGAAAAATGCATATTATGAAAGAGCAAATTAATCTGATTTTTTTCATGCGTCGTAAGTTTAATGACTGTGTAGATCGCTAGCTGGGAGCTTGAAGATATATATAGGTAGCAGTAATATTGTCGCGTCCATAGACATAGTATATCTAGACCGAGTGTTGAGGAGTGGGAGCCGAGGTGCACGTAGAAAAGGACATACTCTGTTTCGTGCCCCTTGCGTTCTCTCTCGTTTGCACGTAGCATGACGAAAGAGAGGGCTATGCTCTGTGCGAGCGAGAGAGAACGCAAAGGGCACGAAACAGAGTATGTCCTTTTCTACGTGCATCTTTACCCCCACTCCTTAAATAAAGGCAA